CTCGTTGAAAAATTAATACCCATCCCGGCAGCCATTATACAGTGGACAAGCATTAAAATTCACCGCGCGCCGCACCGATTTAGAGAGAAGCCGCCGGATGACGTCCCCTCCGTATCTCCGGGGCGATCGAGTTTACGTCGTCGTCGGTCGCCGTGCACGTCGGCCGACGTCGCGGCCAGGCCATCGGCCACGCGGCATGAAAAATACATAATTCCGCTGGAAGGGAAGTGCCAATAAGAGTCCGCGCGCCGCGCGTCGACCGCGTCCCGATGGCGGACGATATTTCAAGCCGTGTCGCGTCGGCCATGGCCGCGGCCGCGCGCGCCGGCGGCCATTTTGTCCCGCGATAGGGGACCGCTTGACTCCTCGTCGTTCTTACCGGCTGACATATTGGCCGCGATACCGAGTAATCCGTGACGCCGGCCCCGGTATCCGCGATAAGAGCGGCCGGTGTCCTTTTCGCTCCCTTTATCTTCCTCCCTCGTTTCCCTATGCTCCTCCATTTTCATCCATTTCCACCCATTCAACCCGTGGAAGTCCCGGCTCCTTTTTTGTTACCCCCTTCTCGGCCCTCGGTATTTCGTTTTGTTCCCGCTCCTCTCGAACTCGATGCTTTTCTCATTTCGTCTCTTTGTGCTCCCCGTCTCCTCTCTTTTTCCTCCCTTTGTTCCTGCGTCCGCTGCCCTCTTTCTACGTTTCCCCGGTTTCAGCTCCGGAGCCTGTACGGCACCGGGCTCTCGGTAAGTGCGCCCCGACACGGAGCCGGCAATATATTTTTCAGGCGTGCGGTAGTCGCGCCGCGCGATTCGCGAGAATCTGACGCGGATCGACGATAAATCTGCGCCCGGACCCGTGTAAATAAAAATCTTGCCGCCGGCCTCGCTTCCCTTCGCCGTGCCGCGGCGGATCCAATTTGACATTTTTCATCGGCGGCCGACCGATACGCGGCAACGATTTGTAATTCCCGCCGCGGGACCGAGGAGCCGCGGTCTACTCCGCCCGGTATGTGCACTCGCTCGACGTTATTCGCCACGGTGTACCTAGGTGTACCCGCGTATTTCGATCCGGTAGTATCGAGCCGGAGATTGCTAGGTTATTTATGAGTCTGTTTCGGTGCCTTCTGAACGGATCGTCGGTAAATACTCGCGGAATCAGTTGAAATTGGTATGCTTTGCGATTAATTGGAGCGTTCGTTCGGGAATTTTATCGTTTGCTGTGTTGTCGGTTTTTCTGATGTTATTGCTGTTATTATTTAGTGTTATTACTGTTGTCACTGTCACTCGTATTGCATTATAATTTATTACTTATCTTGTTCGTTAACGTTGATCTTACTGTCTCATTTAGAGACGATTGCATTCTATTTCTGGGACGATTAAAAGAACACGCAACGATGGAATGTTAATTGCTTTTTTTAAACTTGCAACTGGAGAACGTGTAGAAACAGAGACTCGCTGTCGGGTTGACAAGTAATTCACGGTACAGAAGGCGAAGGTATCCAGCTTGCAACTTTGATTTCGTGACCGTCCGTCGAGGCCGCCGCGGATTCGGGGAGGAGAAAGCTTCTCTCGCGTCCCGTTCCTTTCTTTTCTCTTTAAATCGAATCGTATCACTCCGGCGGAGGGAGGAAAAAAGGATAAAAGCTTCCCGGATCGGGCCGGAAACGAAATGAAATTCCAAATGGGGGAAGAAATGTTTGAAATGGGAATATCTTCGCGATTGGCTCCGTATTTAATAGACTCGGGAGATATTAAACGCGGAGAACAACATGCGAATGGGATTTTAAAGTTTCCTTACAGCGCACTGGGAAGAGAATCGAATGTATAAACGTAGACGTACAATCTCCAATTAACGATTAAAGATTTAGTTACGAATACTAATTGAAGATATCACTTGAACCGATAGAAAATTATTTGGAAAATTATTACTATTTTTTTACTAGTTAACTGCGTACCACTAAAAACATTAACCCTTTGCAGTCGAGAGGTGACTCTCAGTCACCACTTGATTCGGTACAACAAAACGATGAAGTTGAACATTTAACATTTCAAATTAAAGTTTCATTTATATATTTCACGTAGCAATGCAAGCTTTAATTTGAAATATTAAATATTCAACTTCATCGTTTTGTTTACAACACCTCTATTGCTTAATTTATCTATGAATTATCGTTAAATTAGTTTCAAACAACATAGCCTATATCTCGTCAGCAAAGTTGAATATTTCCATTGAGAAACTTTCGAGTGCAAAGGGTTAAATATCAGATTCTATAGTTTTACTGTATCAAATCAAGTAGTGACTGAGAGTCACTTCCCGAGTGCAAAGGGTTAACTTTCCAACACATAGGACTCGATATCAATCACTAAACAATTCACTCGTTTCTGTACTTAATGATCGAAAGCGTCGATAGGAGACATCAGCCAAATCGATGGAAAATAATTTAACAACTGCTTGTAAAGATAGCGCATGAAGGCGGAGCGTTCCAACGTGCGAAGCACGGCATCTATCGCGACAAAATTCAGGAGCGGCGTCTACTTTGCAGGAAAGACTGGGGCGGACGGTTCGAGCAAGGATGTATTTATAGGAAAACCAATGAGATCTCGCTCTCGGAGCGAGCTTAGATCAGAGATAGCGCGGAAGGGAACACCCGTGGGACTTTAGACGAAAAGTTCCGCTTGAAACTCTCCCTCTCTCTCTCTCTCTCTTTCTCCGTCGGCCCGCTTATACGAGTTTTCCGGCGGCAAGTTTTCCCTGGGAAACGCTCCGCGTATGCTGCCGGCTGCGCCAAGTATTTCGAAAATGTGCTCTCTTAAATGTTAATCTAAATTCTGAGCGACTCGCGAGAAACTTCCGCGAGGCGGCTGCAAGCTTCGGGGAAAAAATGGGATAAACAGGCGAAGAATGTTCGTCGAACGAGCAACCTTTTACGCGCGTTTCGTTGCGGTCGTATTAAATATCATCGATGTTATCGAAACATTCGGATCTGTCGGTGATTTTGCGAGAATATTGGAATTTGCGATTAAAGGAATCGTTGCGGTAGAGTTGTCACTTGATGAAGAGGGATGTAATGGAAAATGGAAGAGAAAATGCTGAAGATAATAAGAAAATATATAGTAAACTGAAAATAATTGTATGGTTTTGTGAAGATGTTTCATTGTTATATAACTGATTAAATAATCGAACGATAACCAGCATCATCGATATTCATAGTAGCCCACAATGATCCCGTGACCCGTTACAAACGCAGACCAACATCCGAATATCGAGCGCGAAATTTAAAACGGAATTCGATCGGCAAGCACCTAATTACCGCGCGATAATGTGCTCTCGAAATTAGGGATAAGAGGTCAGTCACGCGGGCGCCGTAAGCCGCGTCATTAACGCGCGCGGATTTACCGCGGCGAGCCAATGACGAGCCGGGATTTACAGAACGCGACCCGGCTAACCGGAAAATCATAATTCCAACGTTTCCCAGGCCCTTTACGATTTTCCACTTTCTAATGAGAAAGCTGCTCCCGCGATAATATTTCAACGCCAGCCGCGTGTTTACCCGTTTAATTACGAAGTAATGAGTAAGTACGGGGTACAGAGCGAACGATGTAACCGGCTGAAATGTTGAAGCAATCGAATAAACCGGATTACATGGTGCGTATCAGTGAACCGCGAATGGAAGTCCTGCGGTTTTCATTCTTGGGGAAACGTCGACTAACTAGTGTCCAATGGAAACTTAATTTCCCTTTAGAAAGAAGAATTTCATTCTACACAATGTTCTGAGAGCTACAACCAACAATAGAATCTATTGTAATATTAATTCCGTCACATAACACACAATCTACTATGCTACAAGCATGAATAAACAACTGCGACAAACCAAAGCTTCCCAAACCGATGAAAATCAAATAAAACTCCAGAAAAACGCGTACATTGTATACTTCGCAACGTACAAACCACAAAATTCGAAAACATCGGTTCGCTTCTTATCAATGGCGCATCAACGATTAATCCCTTGCCGTACAATGACGAGTGAGACTCGTGATGAAAATTTCTGGACTAATTTGACAACAATCAATGTTATTACCCACGGATCAAAGCATGTAACTATTTCGCTATTAACAATGTATTATCTTCAAATGAAATTTCCACCTGAAGTAGAATTGAGACCGTTTCTAAGGAGCCTTTGTACCACTCGTTACGAAAATATTATAATATAATATACAATACATAATAGTACATCATAAATAATATATAAATCTTCAACTTAGTGATTTTCTGCAAGGTTTCTATACTAGAGAGCAGAATTAAAGAATCACAATATTTCTGTTGGAAGATATAGCTTTAACCTTTTGCGGGCGAAGATTCTTCAAAGTACACAGAACCTTCAGCAGATTAGGCCAAATTATATCTCGTATGCTTAACCCCTTGCCGTACAATGACGAGTGAGACTAGCGATGAAGATTTCCAAACTAATTTAAGAGGAATCAATGTTGCTCATTACCCACGGATCAAAGCAAACGACTATTCTGCTATTATCAATGTATCATCTTCAAATGAAATTTCCACTTAAAGTAGAATGGACAATTTCGTTGCATTTCTTCCAAATTGTCGATAGTAAAATGGTACATGAGCTTAGTGGCGAAAGTAAATAGTACGCCAAGGGGTTAATAGCGGGAATAAATAGTACGTCAAGGGGTTGAACGAGCGAAACCTCATGGAATCTTCCCAGCACGCCTGTTCCAACGGTGTATGCAATGAATGCACGAAACGCACAATTCGCTTAGAATTCCAGCGTCGACGCGTCGATTCTATTCAATTCCTCGCAAGAATATCCAAATTCCGGCGCGTTGCGATGCATTACCGGTTCCGTGGCCGCATTCCCATCCGCAGACCGCGCGTACACGGCGCGAGTCTCGCGTATCGCGTAACCGCAAAGCGCCAGCTTCTTTTTATCATCGCAGCCACTTAGGCGGCAACGTCTAACCCGGAAAATGCATTTCTGTTTTCAGGTAGCGCGTACATCATCAGGTGGAGCGCGCCGCAGCTGATGGTGGTCGCCGTGCAGTACATCCTCACGGGGCCCTACATGCCCCCGTACGTGCCCCAGGCGGCGAATTAGGCCGGCAGCCGAGGCCCGTGTTCGTCGGGGACGATCTTCCCGCCGGTGGTCCCAGCATTCCGCGGGATGCACCCGGTGCATTCTTGCGACACGCGGTAAAACATGTACAGCTGCACCGAATTTTCACGGAACGTTTGCGACCTAGACGATCGAGACAATGCCGGTTTCTCGGGGATGAGGAGCCTCGAGCGATCTAGAGGGTTGTTGATCGGACTGCGGAAATTTATAGTTATCGCTGCAATTTTGAGTATTGAGCTTTGATTTTTCAATGTGGAGAATTTTGAATATTTTTAGGGAATTTCGTTTGAAGGTATGAAAGGTAGTGAAGTTGATTAGAAATTTGATTTCCTTCGCGATTCAGTGAATTGTAAGAGCACTGAAGTTTGTGGAGATGCGTTGATTTCTTGGAGTTTTTAGATAAAGTCGATAGAATTCCGCAGTAACGGTATCAACGATTCCTCGGGACTTCGACGAAGTTTCCAGAGGGTCGACAGGACCGATGGCAGAGCGGTCGGTCGATCGTCGAGGCCTCCGAATGATGTATCGTGATTGACGGCTAGCCACGGACAAATTTCACGGGGACAGACGATATTATTTGCCGAGCCGGTGCATACCTTTAATTGGATTGTTAATCGCAATCGAACATTAATTAGGGTAATTGAATTACGGATCGGTCGCCGCTGGATAACCGGCTTAATTAGCATCAGATATTTATTGTGAGGCGAATTATCTTGATGAATTATTTGTGGGAAGTAATGATGTATGAACTGGCCGCGTTGCCCGCTCCGCCGGCAATATTACCGCGTGACGTTCCGGCGCGATAGCCGTGGCTAATCGCCGACCAATTAGGAGTGGGAGTGAATTCACGGCAACGTATCAATCGGATTTTCATTTCCGCCTAAGTGATTTTAACACCTGCGCGCGATCGTGCTCGCGTTGCGTGCAACTTCGCGGCGATTCCTGCGGTGAACGCGTCCCCTTCGCTATATCTTGTCTTCGGAAGAATCCCCCGTGATCCTCGAAAGGAAAGGAAACAGAGGATCGGGTAGGTTGAAGGTTATTCTCCCCGATGAATAGGAAACTTTTCGAATACATCGCTCGGCGTTAAGATTAAGCTCGAACGATCCGCAAGGAATTATCCCCCGTTGGTCACTTAAGTCCTCTCCTTTTGATACTTTTATAACCCGACCTGTAACGTAAGTTTAATCTCCCGGCAACTTTATAAGAGTTGCAAACCGTATCGCGCGCTAAAACAATATTGCCAGGGCCTAAGGAATTGCTCGTTCGAACGGAAGTTCGTGAACGATGCGCGAAACCGTTCCCAACGATACGATCGCAATCATCTTCGAAGCAAAAGGATCTGCACAATATTTAGCTCGATCGAATCGGTGTATTCTATCACACTATATCTTGTTCGTCAACGTTAATCTCACTGTTATTCTCATTTAGAGACGATCACTTGTATTCTGTTTTTGGGACGATTAAAAGAACACGCAACGATGGAATGTTAATTGCTTTTTTAAACTTGCAACTGGAGAACGTGTGACAGAGATTTGATTGACAACTTTGATTTCGTAGCATATTTAGCATGCTCGATCGAATCGTATTCTATCACAGAGTCGCACTTCCTCGACATACCCTGTGACTAAGTTCAAACGCGAAAAAGTATCAACCGATGAATTCTATGAAACATCCGCTAAACCAGCTATTTAGAATTCCTATCCACGTCACGGTCTTTATCTCTTTACTAGGCTTACCTGAAGCTCTTGTCGGCGAAAGCCCTACGCCAGCTTCCTGTATCCACATTACCTAGAATTACCAGCAGAGTTCGTGAAACTCTTCTATCTCCTGTGACTCATAAGTTCAAACGCGAGAAAGTATCAAGTAACCGATGAATTCTATGAAACATCCGCTAAACCAACTATTTAGAATTCCTATCCAGAAACATCACGGTCTTTATCTCTTCGCTAGGCTTACCTGAAGCTCTTGTCGGCGAAAGCCCTACGCCAGCTTTCTGAATCTGCATTACCTAGAATTACCAGCAGAGTTCGTGAAACTCTTCTATTACCTCCCGCATGTAAACCGAAGAATCAGAATATTAATGCAAAGATCTCTGAAAAAGGGAGTACCGGAGGTAAATAAATAAAAAGGAAGAGAAACGAAGAGGGATCGAGAGGAAGGTTGTCCGGAGGCAGCGAAACGCGTGGGCTGCGTGCGCTCGTCGGAAAGGGAATCTCGTGGCAGCGACTTTTCAAGCGGAAAGTAGCATTCAAGTAGACAACCCTCGGCGGGCTAGAGCCAGCGGCGAGGGAGGATTTGATTAATGCTGCGGCACGTGAAAAATGGTGACAGCACGGCCGCGTCCTCGCGGAATCATGAGGGTGCCAACCGGCGAGGCGGCCGGGGCGCAGATATCCGCTGATATTTTTTAAACCACGCTCGAAGAGCCACGTGGAAATCCAATTATCGAAACCCGGCCGGATCCGTGAACGGAATAGTGTCGGGAGCCGGGGGAGGGGGGCTGAAAGGAAATTTCATTCTCGTTTTTCAAAAGGTCATCTCCGCGGTGGACGTTTCGGGCATCCATTCGCGATCCGCGGCGCCGCGAACATTTACCTTTCGTTCGACGATTGCCCGATATTAACGCGCGACACGCGGACAAATTAATGTTCGACGGTTGACATCGCTACCCCCTAACTCTTCCGCGCGACGGAAGATTTATCTTTCGAATGCGCTTCGAATTTTCCGTGATCTTCCGGCGGGGAAATGGATTTTGCGAATCGGTCAGTCGCTTGATCACTGGATGTGGCTTACTTTGCTTTAGTATTCTTGTCGCCTTGTTCTATTTTGTTTCAGTATTCTAGTCGTTATAGTTTACTATTTTATTTCACTATTCTACTCGCCTTGTTCTATTTTATCTTACTATTCTAGTCGTTATAGTTCACTATTTTATTTCACTATTCTAGTCAACCTAGTTTACTATTTTATTTCAGTATTCTAATCTTTATAGTTTACTATTTTATTTCACTATTTTCTAATCGTTATAGTTTACTATTTTATTTCACTGTTTTCTAATCGTTATAGTTTACTATTTTATTTCACTATTTTCTAATCGTTATAATTTACTATTTTATTTCACTATTTTCTAATCGTTATAGTTTACTATTTTATTTCACTATTACAGTCGTTATAGTTTACTATTTTATTTCAGTATTCTAGTCGTTACATTTTACTATTTCATTTCACTATTCTAGACGACCTGGTTTATTCTACTTCACCATTCCTTCGCTGTTTTATTTCCTTTTACCATTCCACTTCCCACATTCCATAATATTTCATAATCCTATTCGCTTTACTTGTTTACACGTTTCCATTCCAAAAGCAAGAAGCAAGGGAAGTTACTATCACGCAGATGATGTCGGACTGGTTTATTCTACTTCACCATTCCTTCGCTGTTTTATTTCCTTTTACCATTCCACTTCCCACATTCCATAATATTTTACAATTCTATTCGCTTTACTTGTTTACACGTTTTCATTCGAAAAGCAAGAAGCGAGGGAAGATACCAGCACGCAGATGATATCGGCTCGAAACGGGACACGCTGTTTAATTCGCGCAGCCGATAAAGGCGTTCGATGAAACGGCCGACGATAGAAGCACGCGTGCAGCTTGGTCCCGGGCCCGTTCGGAGCCCAAAATTACTATGATTCCCGGCGTGAACGTATTAATCATCCTGTTCCCTGTAATTACGGAACGTTCCACTGCCGATCGTTGTGTAATCGGTACCCGGGGAGCGTAATTGCGTTCCGCGATATCGGGTGCGCGGCGTCAGCCCGCGGAAAACGAAACGCGGGACGAATGAAAACGCGAATTAATTACCGAAAGAAGCGGCGGCGGCGGCGGCGACTTCAAACACGATTAACGCGCCGGATCTCGTGTTTATGTTCCGCCCGCGCGGAACGGAACTGCGCAAGCCGAACGGAAACGCGCCGGCATCGATCCGATCGCGAAAAATACCGGCCAAACGAAAATTCGAATTAAACGCGTCCGACGACTGAACGCAAATATTAATAACCCGTGACGCGTTCGTTTGAATCGTAACAACTGCGATTCAATTCTGACGGGCTCCGATAATTAAACGGCGCTCGCTCGAGAAAATTACAACGGTCCCGCGGGAGGATCTTGCGCCGTTCGGATTCGCGAAAATTTCGTGAAATTTCCAGCTGAAACGGATACCTACAGACGAATGATTAGTTTCGTGCTTCGCGTCCGGTTGGAAGGTAATTCTATTTTTAAGCTTGGAGCTCTCGTTTGGGAAAATTCACGAATTTAGACGTTTCAGTAAGCAAATCTTTGTTTAACACCTTAACTTGTACGCTCGGGTTAATTCAAGCGCGATAAACAGACCGAACTGTGAAAATGTGAAAGCAAAGAAAAAAAATCGTTTTATTGATATTTATCATTTACATGGGATTGTAAGCTATAACACTTATTTATTCAAGAATAAAATATAGCCTTTTTCCATGGAACAAAAGCGCAGTATATCAAAGTTGATTTTTTTCAAAAAAACTGTGCGTTAAGGGATTAAGGAAATTTTAGCTTCTCTTGTCTATAGTATATTCTCACTGAAGAAATTGCATCCCAATATTAACCTTTTGCACTCGAGAGACTTACAGTCACCTGATTCGACAAACTTATAAAATCTTCAATTCAATATTAAATTTTGTGTAACGTATCAACGCAAAAACATCGAAGTAAAATAGTTCTGTCTCTTAATATATAGAAGATACTCAATTATGTTAGTTGCGAAAAATACGGTTAATATTTAGTCAGAAAGTAACGAATATTTTGAATGAAAAATATTGTCGAGTGCAAAGGATTAAAATTTGTTTTTCTGAAAATAGAGAAGCTTCAAAGGGTTAATCTACAGTATCCCTAAATCATGGTCATCAAGGTTAAACGGATCTCCAGAGATTCTTCACCTAAAAGTTTCAAACTAA